CCAAGGATATCCTCCATTTTAAAGACTCAAAGTTTTGCACATAAAATGCGAAAATTATTGCCAGTGACACACACACACATGTGACAGATGGTGTCGTAAAGTGAAAATGAATGTGTGAATGGCATTGCTGCCATTGTGAATTTAATTTCCCAATCATAAAGGTTGGAAAATACCGTCCAAAAGTGTAGAATATACCAAAAATGAACTGTGTCTTAAATGTTCACTCTCATTGGAATTCTCAAAAAAATATTGAGAAAAATGCTAAACTGTAATAATCCCTTAATCAGCTTCCAATAATGCTGAGGGCAGCAGACAATTGTTACTTTTTTGTATTATAAATATACCTTAAGCCTCATGACTATAGAGCAGGGTCGGAGAGAGAGCCGCACTTTTATATTCTCTCAATTTCGTTACTCTCTGATTACATTGTTTTTCAATCGCTCTATTGTGTTTGGAAATAATAAGACCTCAAAAATTTTTGAGCGAATCTCGAACTTCTGGAGTCGACCTAGCGATCTCTGCGTGTCTGGCATTATTTCTGGTTACACCCACACGAATGCTCAACATTTAAAAAAAATCGTCGGTTAATAGACAAGATGAATATCTCGAAAATTAGAGTAGATATGGTGAAATTGAACAAAAATTCAGAAAAAGCTTACCATAAATGGTCCATATTTCAAAAAGTCAATAATAATGACGTATGGCACATGATAACGACAATATGAGCCATAGAAAGCAAAGGATTTTGGAGCACGGCACATAGTAATGTTTGTATCAGATATAAGTAATAGCTCACCAGAAAGATCAAAAATTGATCTAGTATAAAGATGGGATGTATAGATCCGCTAACTTTGATACCTTCCACACAAACAGTCGTTCACATAAACATAAACAGAACTGGGCCCCTGGTCTTCGAACCCATTTTGAGGGAGGACTTCTTAGAGAAAAAATTGGATGTTTCGGAAAAAATAACTATTAGGAAGACAGTGGCGTCAGGTCCTCAAAAAAACGGAGATTAATTCAGAATGCATTTTATCGATTTAATATTTTGCTCAGACATTTGTATTACCACTATATTTGGTATTAAAAATGGGACATACCGGTCCACATTTCGGTATTGCCCCCAATAAGCGTTACTTTCTAATTTCGGTATTTCGAATCTTTTGACCTTAATTTTAAACCCAATCATGAGTAACTTGACATTTACTGTTCTGAGTAGATATAATGTCTCCTTTCTAAAAAAATGTAAAAATGCTATTTGGTTTAGGCCCTGCGATAATGTACCTCCTAATAGTCGGTATTTTAAAGGTTTCGACCACAATTTTAAACCTAATCATGAGTTACTTGACATTTTGAGTTCTGAGCTGTGAAATTTTGTGAAGATATGTCCACTATTATGTATGGACCATACATAACGGCAGTTCCAAATTTTAGATATTTTGGGAACCTCTCACTGAAAAATTTCGTGAAGACACGTCTACTTTTATATATAGGCCCTATATAACGGTTCTTTCTAATTTTAGGTATTTTGACGTTTTGAGACAGGGTTTTTTGTCAAACTTATTATTTGGTATTTTGTTTCTCAGTTGTTTTTTATACCCCCAGCAATATGGCTACAGGGGGTATATATCATTTGATACGACCAAAACGTATCTTATCGAAATAATAACTGTTTTAGACCCTAGGTCTTCTTTTATCAAATCCATTTTGGGACATTTGGAGTCGATCTAGCAATGTCCGTTCGTATGTCTGTCTGGCTGGCTGGTGCGCACGATAACTCTAGATGGGAGTATCCGATTTGGTCCAGATTTGGTACATCGTAATATTATTACCAAACATAGATCGTGTCTAGAGATGCGCAATATCGGTCCACTCCTTCTGGTACCTCCACCACAAAAGGTTGAAATTTGGTGTAGAATATTTCGTCTTTTGTCACTTTTTGTCTAAATCGCATTAATTCGAAATAGACCTAAGAAAAATCCACAGTAAAAATATCTACAGTTTACAGTTATCTACATTGACGTCATCTATCTAAAATTATATTTTATAGGAAAATTTTGCATTAAAGTATATATGGATGTTCCTATCTAGCCGAGCTGAGTTGATCTGGCTATGTATGTCAGGTCGCATTATAAACTTATTGGACTAAAAACCGAAAAATTTTCCTGATTCTACAGCTGCTCTACAGGCCACGATTATAGAGCAATAAGAGCGGAATTAAGCACAGGGCTAGATTTTACTGCTGGACAGAAGATTAAAATTTTTTTGGTCATCGGACAATATTTAGCAGGTAAAATAAACCGTAACTTTTATGTCAAAAAATTCGATAATTTTCATTAAACTGCGAATATTTTTAATCCCGGCGAAATCCAAACATGTCACTTCTGACCATTACAGTGATACTGCTAGCCAAGATATCGGGTACATCGCAAAATGGGTATTATCTATATGTACAAAAAATTGATGTTAGTCAAAAATCGCTGGACAGATTTTGACAATTCTCACCAATTCGGAATGGTGTATTGCTAAAAAAGGATAAAACCTTAGAAAATCGCCCAAAAATATGCCAAGTAACAAGTAAAAAAGCAGCTAAGTTCAGCTGGGACGAACCTCCTCCACCATTCGGAAGAAACATGAAAATTTTCAAAAAAAAAAAAAATAAATTGTTGAAAAATACCGCCCAAATGAAAACATTTATATAGGGACTATACGAAGACGTGGTGCTGGATAAGTTATTTTTTGTCAAAGACTGAAATTCGGAATAATTCCGGTGAATAATGTCGCTAATATCAACAAAATACCGTAAAAAGGGAGGTGCCGTTATATGGGGGCTATACCAAGACGTGGATCTGCATAGACAATTTTCCGTTATAGGTTGTAGTACCCATTACGAACTTTAAATACGAAATTTGACGCAATTCCTGCAAACAATGTACCGAAAGTCCTGGAAATACCGAATATCTCGGGGTGGCGTTATACGGATGCCACACTAAAACGTAGACCTCTATAGATAATTTTTTTCCAGGAGGTAAAGAACTCAGTGGGAACTCTTTGTGCGGACTTCCAGACTATTCCAATAAAAAATGTGGCTAAAATCATCAAAGTACCGAATATCGGGGAGCGTTATTGTATGGCTATACCATATCGTGGACCTATATAGAAAATTCTCTTTCAGGGGGGAAAGTACTCACAGAGAACTTCTTGTGTAGAATTTCAGACAATGCCATTGAAAAATGTGACTAAAATCATCAATATGCCGAATGTCGGGAGGTACAGTTTTATGAGGATATACGATATCCTGGATCTATATAGACAATTCTCTTTTAAGGGGGTAAAGTACTCATAGAGAACTCCTTGTGTGGAATTTCAGTAATATAATATTGAAAAATGTGGTTTAAATCATCAAAATATCGGGGGTACCATTATACTGGGGCTATACGATATTGTGCACCTATATAGCCTTCGAACTTGACATGCAGACAAAACAACAGAGCGGTGCAAAGATTTATCCTCATATCTTTATTAGTCTCGACTCTAGCGTGATTACAACAGACGGACGTACGAACAGGGCTAAATCGTCTTAGAATTTTACGCTGATCAAGAATATAACTTTGTTGGGTCTAAAATTTTTATTTTATTTATTTATTTCGAAAACGGAATGACGAACTTAATATACCCTCCATACTATGTATGGTGGAGGGTATAAAAAAGGGAATATTTCACTCCGAATTTTGATTAGTACATATTTTAATATTTTTTACATCCTACAACACTATGAGTTGAGGTTTTTTATATTCAGGTCGTAATTATCGTTCGATCTTCACGAAATTTAACATGGGGGTAGGGTTAGAGTCGAATTAGGTGTAAATGCCCCGGTAAAGTACCAAAGGTAAATTTGGGGCATTATTTAAAAAAGGAAATCTACCAAAATGGATTTGGGTTTAATGGGCTTCCAACATAGTGTTGTAGGTATCATATGGTCGTCCAGGCACGACTATAGCATTGTTTTTTTTTTTTTGTTTGGCGGAACATATTCAAGCAACTGAAAAGTTCGAGTCAATGCGAACATGTCCTTTGGGTTAATATAAAAAATAAGATCGTACATCGCCAGTATAAATTTTCCATTCTCCGAATAATTCAAATCGAAGCTTCGAATAAAATAAAATAAATAATTAAAATCGAAAAAATAACTTCAAATAATTTCAAATTTTAAGAATGTTTTGGACCGATCCTAAAAATGCCAACTTCAAATACTTGAAATTTAAAAAAAGGATTTTTGTCCCACTTTTTTATTTGAATCCTAAAACGTTAACCCTATGAAAATTCCTAACTGAGTAATGGATAAAGGATGGTTGTGTTTGTATATGTGAGAAGCATCGTTTTGACATTTCTCATAGAATTGTATAAATGTTTTTGCATGAATTTTTTCCTTTCTCGCCAGCTTCTTTCTTATCCTGTCATGTATGAAATCAATTTTGTACAAATTTATTTAGTTTCCTGTTTGTGTTTTTTGTTGCTTTTGTAGCTAAGATTAAAAAATTACACACATAACTTGGTTTCTTTTTTTGTATTTATCATTTCATTATCAATTATCATTTTGATTTTATTTCAATTAATTTTGTCTTCTGGTTGTTGTAGTTGTTCGTCTTATCATTGATTTTGATTGAATAGTGATGTTATTTGACTTCCAAGATAGTTTGAAGAGAAATAGAACTTATACTAATTTAGAAAGTGTGTATTTGTGTATATGTTTGTTTGTATGCTTGTGTGTGTGTGTGTGTGAGAGAGAGAATAAAAACATAGAAACAAATATTTGATTTTTATCTTTATCTGTATATATTTATATATGTATGTATGTAGGTAGGTAGGTATGCATGTGTATATGTGTGGCTCTTAAAAACTACTAATTACTGATTTAATTAATTTAAATGTAAGTTCATAACTATTTTCTGATTCTTAAGTTGATTTCACATCTTGACCTAAAGTTTTATAAATTTCAATTACTTTACTTTTAAATTTTTATTCGATTTTAACTAAAATTTAATTTAATGTACAGTTTTGTATTCTTTTGTTGTTGTTGGGTTTATCCATATTGTTTTTGCTGCTGCTGCAGTTGCTGTAAAATTCTTTACAATTTTGTGTCTATGCTAATCAAGTTCCAGACAATACCAGCTATTTCTACTGGCATTTGATTAATTCCACATTCACAGCCACCTCCTGGCAATGAGGTATCTGTGCTGTCTGAGTCTTCAAAAAACTTTATTTCAAATTCCTGCAAAGATATGGAAATAAGAAAATTGGAATTTAATAATTATGCCATATTATGGAATTATTAGATTTGTAAAGAAAAGTAAAATTTAATTTTGAAATTTGTATTAAATCCATCAGGTAGAATTGATGTTGGCTTGGCGGAACATATTTTAGCAAAAATTTAGGAGTTGTATGAGCCGAAAAACCTATTTAAAAATTATGTAAACAAACTGCGTTTGGAAACATAAATTCTTTGTTGTAAGTTGGTTCCATGATAACCTTTCCATATCGAAAGGTTTTTTTTCATAAACATAACACAACAAGCAGAAAAAAAATATATTTTTTTCATTATGTTATTGATGTTCTCTGGAATACGTGAACAAAGTTACTACTTGCGGACTTTATGTGAAAGGAAACATTAATACCAAGGTTTTTATGTATAATCGGCCACCGTACTTGTTTTGATTCATGAGTCACAGCAATTTTGGTGCAATCACTACGAAATGTGTATTGACTGACTGATTAATTTAACGCTCGGGCGAAACGGCTGAAGCTGGAATCTTGATATTTTGCATATGGGTCAAAGTAGGTTTGTAGGGATGATATAATTCTGAATTTTTGAAAATTCGAGCTATAAGAGTACTAAAAGAAGTAACAGATTCTAAAAATCAAATTCATTGTATTGGGCAAACGGATGAAACTAGAACTCTGAAATTTGAAATGAGGGTCCCTAATGCATTATATGAAATTCGAACTATTACGGTACTAGAATACAATTAACTTGGATCCATTCCAAATTATTTATTTAAATTTTGGCATTTGGTATATAAATTGGTAGCAATTGCCAGCTCCATCATTAGCGAAAAGTCTACTTTAAAATTCTAGATTCGTTCCAACAGTTCGAGTTAAGCCTTTTTAGTACTCAAGATGCACAATTTGTTTAGTTTGACAAATTTTTATAATCACAACTTCATACATTCCGTATTAGATTCTCAGACTTTCAAGGTTTTATATATTATTCAAGTTCTTCCTTTTTTAGCCAGAATAATGGGAAAATGTTTACCTTTTACACCAAAAAGTAAAACCATTGCACCAAGGACCCACAAATATTTTTCCTGTTCTAAAGTAATTCGACGTCTCCATACGTAAATCATAGAAGCCAACAATGACCTCTATATCAAATTACAGAATTTCAGCACTATCCCTTCACTTAATACTAACATTATTAACAATTAGTACACATATCAATCCTAGTCAACACCAGACACCAAGAGAGACTTCAATATCATATTTCTGGATTCCAGCTCAATACATTCACTCAATAGCAAAATTAGTAACATTTAGTACTTTTTGAATAATTATGGTACACATTTCCAGATCCACCTCCATATCTTAACCACAGACACCAGCAGTCATATTTATATGGAATTTAAGGATTTCAGCTCTTTTTCTCCAACTAATACTATATTTAGTACTTTTCGCACAATTATAGTACAAAACCACCTCCATATCGTACTTTTAGACACCAACAGTGAATAAATGTCACTGTCAAATCGAATTTCAGCTCTATTTCTTTACCCAATACAAAATTCAGTACTATTTAGAACTTTTTATACAACTATAGTATACATTTCCGAAACCAGCTCCATATCTTAACACCAGATATCCACAGAGATCTCAATATCAGTATTTAGGATTCTAGCACTATCACTTCACCATATTTAGTACCTTAAGTACTTTTCGAAAAAATCTAGGGCGCATGTAAAAACCACCTTTAAATCGTAAACACAGATACCATCAGTAATCAAATGTTAGAATTTTAACTCTATCCCTTCACCTAATACTAAATATAGTACCATTCTGTACTTCTCGTACAATTGTAGTGTCCAAAATAACCTCCCAATACCAAATTTAGCACCATTTAGTACTTTTCGTACAAATATAGGACGAATTTCTGAACCATCGTCAAATTTCAAACACACATACCATCAGTAAACAAATTTCAGAATTTTGTCTCCATCCCTCCACCCAATACCTAATATAGTATCAATCAGTATTTTTCATACAATTGTCTGAGAAATTTCCATAACCACCTCCATATCTCAATTCCGGATACCAACAGGGACCTCAATATTAAATTTGGGGATTCCAGCTCTATCCATTCACCCAATGCCAAATTTGGTACAATTTAGTACTTTTCGTACAAATATAGGACGAATTTCCAAACCATCGCCAAATCTCAAATACAGATACTGATGGTGTCTGAAATCTAAATATCAAATTACAGAATTTTATCTCTATCCCTTCACCCAATACCTAATAAAGTACCATTCGATTCTTTTTGTACAGTTTTATAGTTTTGTAGTACACATTTCCAAAACCACCTCCATATCTCAATTCCACATACCAACAGAGTATCACATACCACATACTAACAAAGACCTCAATATGACATTTGAGGATTCCAGCACTATCCCTTCACCATATTTAGTACCACAAGTATTTTCCGTACAAATATAAGGCGCATTTTCAAACCAACCAAATCTCAAACACAGATGCCTTCAGTAATATAAATATCAACTTTCATATATAGTAATATTTAGTACTTTTCGTGCAATTATAGTACACATTTTCGAAACCACCTCCTTTTATCAACCCCAATTTCCAAGAATTGTTCCTTATTCAAAATTACAAGATTTAACCACTATCTGCTTACTTAAGTCTAGATGGTACCAAATTTACTGCATTTTAGTACTTTTGGTACAGGTATTGCTGGAATTTCGAAAAACCCTTTAGTTTGTCTATTCTACACAACGTCAGGACTCTCACTCCGAATTTCAGATTTCCAACCCTATTCTTTTGCCAATCCCCCGTCATGTTTGAACCAAACCGCATAATCTTAATGCCAACTTTTAGACTTCCATCTCAATCCGTTACCCAAATATGCCAAATTTCCGATTTCAAGCAGTTTCTGTTAACCCAATATCAATTTTAATTTCTCACGCTGAACGCATTTCCATACGCTCTTAGTTTTAAACCTGTCCACCAGCGGAACCTATCCACCAATATTAACCTCTCCACCAATATTGACCCGTATGCAAAATTACAAGATTCCAGCTTCAACGGTTTCGCCGCACAATCAATGTTAAATTTTGTACCATTTATTGTCTTATGTACTCTTGTAGTACATATTTTCAAAAATTATTCCAAATTCCAGAACTGCAGCTCTATCAGTTCGGCCAAAATTTCGAAAACTACCTCCATATTCCAATCACACACTCCTTCAGCAATGTTAATTTCAATTTTCAGGATTCCAGTTCCATCCGTTCCTCCAAATTCAAATTTTACCAAGTTCATACGAAATTGTACAAAATGTAGTACTTTACGTACACTTATAGTGCGAATTTCCAAAAAATGTTTGGTACATCTATCGTATATTCTACAAGTAACTCTTATTCTAAATTTAAGAGTTCTTGCTCTACTGGTTCGTCAAATACGAAGGGTACTATATTTAGTACCTTTTAGTACTTTTCGTACCGTTCAATTACGAATATCAGATAAGGAAATTATAAGAGTCATCCTCACTCAAAACTTTCAGACTCAGACTCTAACTTCAGCCGTTTCGTCTGGGCGTTGATGAATCGTTAAATCAGTTAATCATTTTTTAGCCCGACGTCAAGGAATTGGACGGAAGAAAACAGCAACATCAGCAGAAATGGTTCGAAACCCGCGTCGCAGTGGCCGTAAAATGGCTCGCGAGCTGAACATATCGGAATATTTCATTTGCCAAATATTAAAAAATGAGCTCGGTGTAAACCCATTGAAATTCCAAAAAGTGCAAGAACTTACACCGCAACTGAAAGAAAATAGACTCAAAAGAGCTAAAGAGTGGCTTCGCATGGCCGAATGTTGTGAACTGCCGAATTTAGTTTTCTCCGATGAGAAAACATTCATTGTCCAGCAGTTTGTAAACAAACAAAATGATCGTGTTTACTTGCCAAAGAGGTCAGCTGAAAATGTGCACCTTCGGTTGGCCTCCAGAACTCAAGCGCCGGCCATGCCGAATATTATCCGGAAAATATTCTGGAGGGTGTATTAAAGCCTTGGACATTCCAACAGGACTCAGCAGGTTCCTCGCTTCATTTCCAGCACACAATCGCCAACAAAATCTCCGCATACCAATCCGTTGGACTATTGTGTCAGGAGTATTTTGGAATGCAAGGTTGGCACTAAAAAATACCAAGTGTTGATCACCTCAAGCAAGCGCTTTGCTGGGAATGGGCCAGAATACCGCAGAACAACATTCGGGCAGCGTATGACGGTTTCATTGGCCGTTTGAAGGCCATAAATCGTGCCAAAGGTGACCAATTCGAACAAATCTAAACTTATTCTAAAATTTGATGCTATTTCCGAAATTTTTTAGTTTCATTCAAAAAAATTAAAAAAATGTAAAAATTATGGCGTTTACTTTGTTGCAGTTTTTTATTTCACCTTGTGTTTAGTACATGTCGTACTTTTTAGTACGTATTATCCCCTGCTATGTATGACCCAAACCGCACACAGTTGATCCTAATTTTAGACTTCCAAATCAATTACGTATCCCATACAAAATGTAGTACGATTTCGTATTTCGAAATCCACCTCCAAATCTCAACCCTGCACACGAACAGTTGTCCTAATCCCAAAATTTAGATATCAACTATTTATCTTAAACCTACCCATTAGCAGACATTTACATTTTACTGATAAATCGGTATAACCAAATCCAAATTGTACTGAATTATGTACAAGTTGTTACACATAGTGTACATTTCGAGAAACACATATTTATATCAACTCTCTTTCCAAATTTTATTTTTATTTTTATTAAATTAGGTCTAAAATTACAAAAACACAACCTCATCACACACCCACGCAGTAAGACCGACCCTCGTGCAAAATTTCAAGATTCAAGTTTCTGTCGTCTTGTGTGGGCGCTTATAAGCTCTGTTCTAATAAGCAAAATGGGTCCGACGATATCCT